ACTCTTACATTCCTGGAATAAAACACACTTGATCATGTTGTACTACCTTTCTAGTGTGATTTTTAAATGTGGCATGTCAGTTTGTTATTTTGGATTTCCACGTCAATTTTCATCATGAATATTGGTCTGATATATCTTTGTCTGGTTTTGGTCTCAGGATAACACTGGCTTATAGAGTGAATTTGACAATATTCCTTCCTTTTCTATTTCATGGAAAATTTTGAGGAGAAATGGCATTAGATGTTTTTTAAAAGTCTCACAAAACTCAGCTGAGAATCCAGCTGGTACTAGGTTTTATTTGTTAGAAGGCTTTAATTGCTGATTCATTTATATTGCTTGATCTTGGTCTGTTGAAATTTTCTAGATACTCATGATTCATTCAGGTCAGTCATATGTGTCTCATCATTTGACAATATATTCTAGATTTTCTAATTTATTGATATAAATTTTCACAACAGTTTCTAACAATCCTCTGAATTTCAAAATTGTCTGTGGTGATATCTTTTTCATCTATAATTTTGTTGATTTGACTCTTCTTTCTCTTTCTTTTGGTTAATTTGACTAAGAGTTTATCAATCTTTTTATCTTTTAATGGACCAAAAAACTCATTGATCTTTTGTAGTTTTACACTTTCATTAATTCTGGCTTTGATCTTAAATATTTTCTGACCTCTCCAGATTTTGCATGTTTGTTTGAATTTTTTTTCCCTCTAGGATCTTGAGGTGTAGCACCACCTTATTTATTTGGAATCATTCAGTCTTTTAATATAGGAACTCAATGCTATAACATTTCCTCTTAGAAGCACCTTCATACTGTCTCAGAGATTTTGATTTTGTTTCTCAGCATTTGTTTCCAATAATTTCTTCCCTGATTTATTCTGTGGTTCATTCTTCACTCAAAAGTGAATTATTTAATCTCCTGGTGTTAAATGGTTGTGTTTTGCTTTGTCTTATGGTTGATTTATAATTTTAATCCATAATGACCTTACAGAATTCAAGGAATTATCTCCATTTTTTGTATTTTTTAGAATTTGATTCATACCCTAAAATATGGTCTATTTTAGAGAGAGTTCCTTGTGGCACTGAGAAGAAAGTAAATTCATTTTTTGATGGATAAAATATTCTATAGGTGTCAGTAAGTTTCGTTTGATTAATAATATTTTTTTCTGAAGAGTCTTTTCTTAGTTTATGCCTGAATGACCTACCTAATGGACAGAGGTATGTTGAAATTGCTCAGCATTGCTGTAGTGTTGTCTACTTGATTCATTGTATTGAGAAGGGATTGTTTTATATACAGGTGTCCCACATTGAAGGGTGTGAATATTTGTTATCATCATATCTTTTTGGTTGATTCCTTTAGCCAGTTTGAAGTGACATTTGTCTTTTCTAATTAATTTTGACTTGCAGTCTAGGCTCTTTGATATTTGAGTAGTTACACATGCTTGCTGTTTTAATTTCCATGGTGTATATTTTTCTATCCCGTATCCTTCAGTGTGTGAATGTCTTTGTAAGATGAATCTCTGTTGGACAACATTTTATTGGGCCTAATTTTTTAATCTAATCTGCCTTTCTTTGTCTTTTGTTTGGAGAGTTTACAACATTTACATTCAGTGTTGCTGCAGAGAGAAATTTTTATTTTGGATTTATTTCTAATGGTTAATTCAGATTTTATTCTCCTTTAACTTACTATTCTTCTATTGCAATTCATTCCTATAATATTTTGTTTTATTTCTTTTACATTAAACTATTTCACTGAGTGCGGGCTTAGTGGTTTGAATACATTTAGTTTCTGCTTATCATGAAATGTTCTCTTTTAACATCATTTCTGAAAGATAGTTTTTCCAGTGTTGTAATCTTGCTTGGCACCTATTTTCCTTCTGGATTTGTTATATATAATTCCAACCCCTGCTATCTTTTAAGGTCTGTGTCAATAAATCAATTGAAATCCAAATCAACTTACCTCTAAACGTAACCTGAATTTTTTCTGTTATTATTTTAAAGTTCTATTGTTATTCTGTATATTAGGTATTTAAATTAAGATGTATCTTGGAGCCATTACAGTGGTGCATGTTTGTAATTCCAGCAGCGCAGGATGCTGGGAAAGGAGGATTGTGAATTCAAAGCCAGCCTCAGAAACTTAATGAGGACATTACCGAATTAGGAAGACACTGTCTCAAAAGAAAAAAAATAATCAATCAATTTAAAAGCTTGGGGAGAGCTGGGTCATTGTTCAGTTGTTAGAGTACTTGCCTAGCATATGTTGAGGCTCTGGGTTCAATTCTCAGCACCACATATAAATAAATAAGTTTAATCAACAATTAAAAAAAATTTTTAAAAAAAAAGCTTGGTGATGTGACTCAGTGGTAAAGCCCCTCTGGGTTCAATGCCTCATTAAAAAAATGTGTCTTTGAGGGCTGGGGTCATGGCTAAGAGGTAAAAAGCTCTCCAAGCATGCATGAGGCACTGGGTTCGATCCTTAGCACCACATGAAAATAGATTGAAGATATTGTGTCCACCCATAAATAAAAAATAAATATTTAAAACAAAATATGTCTTTGAGAGGATCTTGTCCATTATGGAGCTTTATACCTTTGTTTCCAGTATTTGGAAGGAGGGTGAATGGAATTTTCAATATATGACAAATAATTTCAAAAGTATGGATACATATAAAACTTCATAACTTAGGAATTACTTTTAAAAACAAACTATTAAATGTTATATTTAATATTTTTTGACAAATATTAAATGTTGTATGTACATTTTTAAACATCATAACATAAATATAAAACACAAAATATCCAAAGTTAACACTGATGTATCCCAAGTGACTTGGAATTAGATGATTTATATATATATATATATATGTATATATATATAAATTATTATATATTTTAATGTATATTATATATTAATTATATAACTATTATATTTATAAGAATTTATAATTATAACATTTATAAATAATTATATATTATATCTATATACATATTAATTATATAAAATATATATTAATTATATAAATTAATTAATTATCTATATATATTTAGTTGTCAATGGACCTTTTTTATTATTACTTATAGGTGGTTCTGAGAATCAAACCCAGTGCTTTATACATGCTAGGCAAGTTCTCGAACAGTGAGCTACAAGCCCAGCCTCATATTTTACGTTTTATAGAATAAAGTTTTAACGTTTTGACAATACTTGTAGTATATATTATTATTATTACCAAAATATTCATGAAATTTAAAACATTGATAATAAAATTAATTATTAATTTTCTTGAATATTCTAAAACATTCCAATTTGGATAACTATTTAAATTTTCAGGGCATAAAAGTTACATAAATAGAGTACACAAGAGTATGTAGTTAATATAGAATAATTCTGTTTACATTTAAAAATACCTTGTATTTTCAAACTTTGGAAAAAAAAAACCTAAGCAAACCAAAAGTACTTTGGGTCAAATTATGTCTCAGTACAAATAGTATATCAAATTTCAATAAATTATAATCCAAGAGCACTAAAAATATTGCATTATTAATTGTTAAAAATGCATTTACATGGTGAAAGAAGACATAAGAAAACTTACAGAAACAAAAAGACTCAAACGTATTCCAACTTGTAAAATAAGAAATATAAAATATAAAATATGCAAATTAAAAAGTTGAAAATATTGCTTGGAAAATTTTTATACCTTAGTTGAACTCTCAATTTCATTTTAACTACTTGACATATACAGTTTAATACTTAAAAAGATGGCAGCTAAATTATTTAATAATATTTATAGAATGCTACCTCTCAGGGTAGACATGTTTCACACAATAGTTTTAATTAAAATATCACTTGATAGCTTTAGTTACAATTTTTTATGGACTAATAAATGGATTAACAATGTATTCATTAATTTAGACCAATATAAGGAATAATCTGATAAAGGCTCACTGTGCAATTCTGCCCTGCAAAAGCCAAGAATTTGCAGATAGTACGTTCAGTAGATTACATCTTTCCATGTGTGTTTTTCATCAACAAAATGGGCATATAATGTCAAGCTTTTTCCTGGTTTTTTTTGTTTTTGTTTTTGTTTTTTTGAGAGCAGCTCAATGATTTAATCTGAGGTGGAGGTGATTAGTAGAATACAGATAGCATAAAGAAAATTATAAAATGGCATTTAACACCAATGCCAGAGCTGAGCACCAGGGCACAAACCTGTAATTCTAGAGGCTAGGGAGCCTGAGACAGGAGAATCTTGAGTTCAAAGCCAGCCTCAGCAACAGTGAGGCACTAAACAACTCAGTGTGACCCTGCTTCTAAACAAAATAAAAAATAGGGCTGGGATGTGGCTCACTGGTCAAGGGCCCCTGAGTTTAATCCCTGATACCAAAATAAAAACAAAAGCAACCCACCAATGCCAGTACTTATTGCATTAGGGTAATTACTAATTTTTGTCTTGTTTACTGTTCTTTAGAACATAAAGCCATTAACTTAAACTTAAGGTATTTACATCATACATATACAATTAAGCAAAATACATTGTTTCATAAATAACATGATGTTTTGAATATTGGAAACAGTATCTGTGCTGATTTGTATTTTGATTAGTGGAACAAGAGAGAACAACATTCAGTCAAAGGAGGTTATACTGATACAAAGCTCTTAAATTTCAAAATCTCTTCCTCTCCCTTTGTACTTACCACAGGCTACACATTGTCTTGGGAAAAATGTTGATTACAGCTTTATAAAGTAATTTGGAAGGAACCAATGAGAAAACACATTATAGGGTAAGACTTCATCTTGTTTTCAATTATGTGGTCTTGATTTTTCTTATATAAAAAAACCATTTTATTACAAATATATCTAAACCATGAATTTTTGCAGCTTTCAGGTAAAGTCCAGTACTTTGTTTATACAAAGTCTATGAGAAGAGTTCAATAAATGTCATCTGATCCTAAATTATGACATCTTCCATTCAAGTCCTTAGCATAATCCCTCACCAGCAAGAGCTTAGCATGGCTGGATAGGCCACTGATGATCTTTAAAAGAAGTCAGCTTCAAAAACTGGCATATTTCTGTTAAAGTCATACATTCCTGTCTATTAGCAAAAATCAGTAATCCAGTTTTTTTCTAATTGATTTTTTAAAATAAATAAATAAATGACAGCAAAATGCATTACATTTCTTATTACATGTATACAGCACAATTTTTCATATCTCTGGTTGTATACAAAGTATGTTGACATCAATTCGTGTCTTCATACATGTACTTTGGATGATGATTTCTATCACATTCCACTATCCTTACTAATCCCCTGCCCCATCCCTTTACCTCCCACCCCTCTGGCCTATCTAGAATTTATCAGTTCTTCCCATGCTAAGTGAAGTTAGCCAATCCCCCTCACACACACACACACACAAAAATGCCAAATATTTTCTCTGATATAAGGAGACTGACTCATAGTGGGGTAGGGAGGGGAAGCATTGGAGCATGGGAGTAATACAGTTTTTCTTAGGTCCTCATGCACTAATAGTTTGTAGTGTTCTTCTTTAGTTACAGAAATCTCTGTACTGTCCAAAACTACTATTACAAAGTTCTTGTTAGTATAAGTATTCCAGGAAGAATAAAGAGATTCTTGGCCACCAATATCCCACATTAGGAAATGTACATCATTAATCACTATTTCTTTTTCTTTACTTCCTATTGTAAAGGATGTATGTACAATTTTATTCATAGAAAACTATTAAAGGTGGGATATCACTATTGAAGTATGCTTTCCCCCTTCATGTAAATGTAAATACTTCCTTTCCACTATTTTCATTATTTTTAAAAGTCTGCTTTATTTTTTTTTCATTTTTTTTCAGTTTGTCTACCAGATACTTCCCCAGGAAATAGATGAAATTAGCAAGTAAAAATCAAGAAGTCATTGAATACCACACTGAAAAGATGATATTTGAGCAAATTTTGAATGTTAAATTTTTTAAAAATGGCAAACACTTGAGTTCTACCAATTCTTGTTTCATTTCCTACTCTTTTTGAGTTAAAATGTGTCAAATATTGTTAAATCACACGTATAGCTTCTGTGGTCTTCTTCTTTTTCAATGTGACCAAGTGACTATTATAATTCTTACGTAGTGTGACCATTATAAAGCTAACCTTTTCCTTTAACCATATTTTGACACCACAGCCAAAAAGAGAAGAAATGAAATGGAAGCTCAGACAATAGAGAATGAGGATTGAAAACTGTCACTAGTCTTCCATATTTATTATATAATCTAAAAATATTTATCTGAAGGAAATTGATTAGATATTTGCCCTCCACATCTTTAATCACACATAAAAAATACTTTCCCTTGACATGGAGCAAAACTAAAGAAATTATAAAAATATTGAAAAACTAACATCCTTTTTTCAGCAACAGCATATTTTCTATGATGTCCTCAAATATTTCAAGAATCTATGGTTTACATTAATATTGTGAGAGTTAAGTACCTTTTTAAATGTACTACGATTTTCTTCTTGAAAATTTTTAAGTAGAACCTATAATTTTGAAGTCAAAAAAGAAAGAAAGAAAACTATTAAAGATGGTAGTTTTCCCCCACATTGTCCAATCCTACAGTGATAATTTTGTTACCCTGATTAGTGAACAGCCTCCATATTCTGGTGAAGAGAATTCCCATTCTTGTGCAGTGGACCCCCTCCAGCTACCTGGGCCATATGGCTTGGCCTCCCCTGGCTCAGACTAAAAAATAGAGAGAAGCATCTGAGCATCTACTTCTGCTGCTGTTGCCATTCTCACACTGGTCACTGGTCCTCTTCCAGGGAACCAAGGGCAGGCTAACACCCAGGGCACTCTCCTCTGAGCAAGGGCCCATCAGTGCTGCCACCTGCTCCTCGACATTGCCACCACTTTGTCTGCCATGAGTTTCATGGGCCCTGGTCCTCCCCTAGCTCCTCGTAGGTGACTGCAATCTGGATTTTTCCTTGTTCCTAAGGTTTGGGAAATTTTCTGAGCATTTCATTGGAAAGATTGTGCACTCCTTTAGTTTGTATTTTGGAAACACCAACGATTCTTAGATTTAGTCTCTTAATGTTATCCCAGATTTCTTCAATATTCTGGTCAGAGTTACTTAACATCTTTTCTTTATTTTTGACTCTATGTTCAATAGTATATACTTTGTCTTCAAAGCCTGACATTCTGCCTTCAAAAATGATTTACTGAGTCTTTCATTTTCAAGATTTCCATTTGGTTCTTTTTAAGAATCTCTCTTTTTATTGAAATGATCGTTTACTTCCTGTATTTTATCTCTAGTTCATTTCTTAAATCTTTTAGTTCAATGAACATTTTAACTACTAACTTTCTAAATTCTTTCTCCATCATATCCTCAAATGTGATGTCAATGGGATCAGTTGTTGATCAGTGTTGTGGGCTATTTGGAGATTGCTTGTTCCTTTACTTTTTCACTTATAAGTCTATCCATCTGCTGGGATGATTATTGCTTTTACTTTTATAAAAGCGACTATTTATTGAGCTGCTTGCTCTTAAGAGAACCATTTTGGGTGAATATCCAGTTGTTTATACTTACTACACTCTATGTGTGTCCTCTTCTCTTCTCAGCATCAGCACCACTTGAGAGAGTGGTATAAACACTGAACCCTGTTTATACAATCACTTCAGAACAAACCATATATTAATCAACCTTAGGAGAAACAAAAACTAGTTGAAACCGTTCTTCACAGTTTCTCTAACCCCAGGTATAAAATTATAGTAATAATCTGGAAATTGTTGATAAATTAATTAAAAGATTGCAAAGATAATAAGATACATTAATTAAAGATTGCAAAATTACTATTATATTACATAGTGAAGAAGAGGGAAGAAGAGATAAATTGCAGGGGGAAAAGGGAAAAAAGATAGAAAAATATCAAAGGAAAAAAAAACATGCTGGTTGCCTTTCTCCTAGACAAAAAGATGCTGATCTTACCCACTATTCTCTGAAGATCAGACCCTAGGATAACTACTCAGAAGTATTCTTTATAAAAAGGTATCTACCTTTCTTCAGATGGTAATACACATTTATATGACCTCTGTTTCAGAATACTGTTATACAAATTACTATCATAAATATTTCTTATAAGAGCCTGTTGCACTGGAACAAAGAACCCCTGGATGATGCAGGTGTCCTCCCACCTGCATGAGCTTCAACCTCCTGGTGATTCTAATGACCTCAAGGCCCTCTTGACTACAGAGTCCATCTAAGAAATCACAGTCTGGGTAGCATTTGTCAACAGAAGCTAGGGGACCACACCATGAAAAGCATCCTAGGGGCTGAGGGTGAGTCTGAAGAGCTGTTCCTCTTCTCTCTATCACCTGTGGGTAAGTGCTGCTTTGCACACCAAAATCTCCTCCAGCTAAGGATAATTTGCATAATGGGCAGCAATCTCTTAGATTGGAATAAGAGAGGACTTGGAGAAGCCAGCCCAGACTAGGTCTCAGGATGCAGACCCAGGGGAACCTCCACCATAGTCTGCACCCCTCTCCTTCTTGGGCTTCTCTCTTACTGCACAAGTTCTTCCTCAAGGAACCCACCCATGGAGCCCAGGGCAATGGGACCTACCTGGAGCTGGATCTCAGCCCAGCCTGACCCTGCCTGTGGAGGAGGGGGCAAGATGCTCAGGATTTCAGCTCAACACTTGCTGTGAGTCTGAGGGACTGTAGCTTCCAGGAGTGAGGAGCTGTTGCTCACATGCTCAATGACACCACCCTCCAGTCAGCCCATGGGACACTGGACTGACCCTAAAGGTAGGGGGCTCCCTGAAAGCCCAGAGCATTCTTGAAGTGAGTCTGGACTAGGCAGGCAGGAAATTCATTGGAAGACTTCCTCAATGTTAATCCCACCTCTCCTTTTCTCTCTGTGGAGTTGCCTTGGCTTCCTCTGATCTGACTCAGCCATCCTCAGTGTCTGGCCATCAGTAAGACAGCTAGTAACACTGCTCTAAAGGCAAATTTGGGCATAAGTATGGATATTAGTACCAGCAGAATCCAGGCAGGCTCCTTTCCTTGTCAATTATGATGATAGCAAATGGCATACACTAACCTTGGTCTGATTTCAGGTTCCAATGTGGGAAACCCAGACACCCTGACCACCAGCAGGACCCAGACCACAGATGAGACTACTTCTGTGCCATAGCACATGGCAGTGGGAACAGCTGGCAGTGACTCATGGTGATACAAAAGGACATGTGGGTCAGGAAACACCTGCCCAGCGTTATTCTGTTTACCATCCACTGAGGCACAGGCATGACCTTGGCTCATGACTTACTCAGCTGGTTTCCCACTACACCCAGGCTACAGAAGAAGAGTGAAGATACACACTGGAAATTGGGCTATCCCAAAGGACTTGTTAAAGCCAGGTGAGGTGGTGCATGCCTATAACCCCAGTGATCCAGGAGCTGAGGTAGGAGGATTGCAAGTTTAAAGCCAGCCTCAGTAACTCAGGGAGGCCCTAAGCAACTTATAAAGACCCTATTTCTAAATGAAATATAAAATAAGGGATGCATATGTTGCTCAGGGGTGAAGCAGCCCTGGGTTCAAACTGTAGTACCAAAAGAAAAAGGGAAAAAAAAGAATTTTTTTTTGGATTTTAAATTGAAAGTCATATCATTTCCATCCATAACCCTGTAGCAAATAGTACACAGTTTTCTGGATGGACAGTGTCTCTAGAGAACTTGGTTTCTACATTATACACCCTCACTCTCTTCCCTCCATTTGCACAGAGTATTTCAGGAAAAGGACCTCCTTTGACAGGTTGGCCTTGGCAGAGAAGACAAAAGATTGTGAGCCTTGTAGGATGGCATGGACAGCATGACACATGCTGACCTGACCAAAGCAGTTCTCAGTGTCTGAGAAAAGATTGTCCAATAGCTCATACAATTAAGAAGTGTGCCCATGGGAGTTAGGTGAGAGCAAGGACCACCATATTCCTACACCCAAGAAGAAATGCTCGCATTTCTCCTAAATGTGATCAAAACTTAACTTTGTGTAGCACAAAAGTAAGTACATGTTTGTCCTTGTGGAGATAAATTCTGGAACAGGAATGTACTCATTTCATGGTGTACTCCCCTAGGAGGAGGGAAAAATGACACCAAATAATGCAAAGACAAGTCCATGAAAGAGATCAAGAAATCAGAATGTGTGAATGATCTTGGGATTCAGAGCTAATCAATGGCTAGTCTTTCAATGCTATTAAAGGTATTTTTAAAAGTTGGTTCCAATTAGTTTTACATTACAGGAGAATATATTTTGACACTTTGTACACAAATGGAGCACAACTTCTCATTCCTCTGGATGTACCTGTGCACAGACACACCAGTAACATAATCAATCATGTTTACAAGGTAATAATGTCTGTCTCATTCCACCATCCTTCCCATCCCCACATCCCCTCCACTCTACTCTGCCCAATCCAAAGTTCCTTCATTCTTTCCTCTACCCTCCAATCTTAATAGATCAGCATCTTCTTATCAGAGAAAACATTTGGCCTTTGTTCTTCTATTCAACATAGTTCTTAAAATACTGGCCAGAGCAATTAGATCAGATGAAAGAAATTAAAGGGTGATGTATATGAAAAGAAGAATTTAATTAAGCACTATTTGCTGATGATGTGACTCTATACCTAGAAGACCCAGAAAGCTCCACCAGAAAACTTCTAGAACTAGTAAATGGATTCAGCAAAGTAGCAGGATATAAAATCAACACCCATAAATCAAAGGCATTTCTGTATATTCTGTATATTTCTCATTTCTCTGAGAAGGAAATGAGGAATACTACCCCATTTACAATTCTAAAAAAAAAACTTGGGAATCAAAGAAAGAAGTGAAAGATCTATACAATGGAAACTACAGTACCCCCACCCCTCGCAAAAAATCAAAGAAGACCTTAGAAGATAGAAAGATCTACCTTGCTCTTGGACAGAAATAATTAGTCTTATCAAAAAAGATTGGCCTATTTTGCTTAGCATGATATTCTTCAGCTCCACCCATTTACAGGCAAATACCATAATTTCATTCTTATTTAACACTGAGTAATATTGCATTGTGTATATATGTTACATTTTCTTTATCCATTCATCTGTTGAAAGGCACCTAGGTTGATTCCATAGTTAAGCTGTTGTGAATTGACTACTATAAACATTGATGTAGCTGCAGCACTGAAGTATGCTGATTTTAAGTCCTTTGGGTATAAACCAAGGAGTGAGAAATCTGGATGAAATGATAGCTCCATTACAAGTTTTCTGAGGAATCTCCATACTGCTTTCCATAATAGTTGCACCTAATTAACTCAAAAACAAAACTAAACAAACAAACAAACAAAATCACATAACCCATTCAATAAATGGCTAAAGAACTGGACACCTCACTGAAGAAGAAATATAATTGATCAAAAATATATGTAAAAGATTGAACATCTCTACCAATTAAAGAAATGCAAATCAAAACTATTCTAAGATTTCATCTCACACCAGTCATAATGGCAAATATGGAGAATATAAGCAACAATAAATGTTGGAGAGGATATGGGTGGGGGAATATATGATGACCATTTTTTAATAACAAGTCAACTTGCCTGGGAAAAAATTGTGAGCTCAGTGCAGCCAGCTGTTTCTCTGGACAACTGTTT